ATATGGCCCGGACAAACAACAGAGAAACCTCGTGGATGGGTTTTTCCAAACAATGGGAGACAACTGAAAATTGCAGTCCCTAACCGAGCTAGCTTTCGTGAATTTGTTGGCAAGGTACCAGGCACTACTGACTCATTCAGAGGATACTGTATTGAAGTCTTCACTACAGCCATAAACTTATTGCCTTATGCTGTCCCTTACAAGCTTCTTGCCTTTGGGGATGGCCATAACAATCCAGAAGATACAGAGCTAGTGCGCTTAATCACAGCAGGAGTGAGTATAAGACTACCAATGTTCTACTCTAGTGTCAGTTTAGCAATGTGTTTTCTAACTGTGCATACTTGGTCTTTCATTTCAGGTTTATGACGCTGCCATAGGCGACATAGCAATTACAACTAATCGGACAAAAATGGTTGATTTCACTCAACCATACATTGAATCTGGGTTAGTTGTAGTGGCACCAGTTAAGCAGCAGAATTCTAATGCTTGGGCTTTTCTCAGGCCATTTACTCCTAGGATGTGGTGTATCACTGGTGTTTTTTTCTTAGTCGTGGGCACTGTAATTTGGATTTTGGAACACAGATTGAATGATGATTTTCGTGGACCTCCGAGTAAGCAGGTTGTCACTGTTCTCTGGTGAGTTGACAACTACTTGTGCACGTACATATAATATCAGGATCTTGATTGTGAGAAAAATATGCAGTTGAGCTTTTTTTCTGTTCCAATAGCACTTAACTAATAAATTAACATACATTAACTTGACGAACAAGTCTGTCATGTATTCTCTACTCTCTCTAACTTTCTTCTATTATCTAGTCTTCCACTTGCCAGTTCATTCTGTATGTCAAATTCTGCTATCTATCTTTATACATAAAGTTTTGACCTTTTCCTATGTAAAACTCTTTTTGCAGGTTCAGCTTTTTAACTCTCTTTAATGCCCACAGTAAGTAACTCATGCTAGTTGAGTTATTTTTGCACTTGCACTTGAATGAGCTTCCTTTGACAAAGATCACTTTTGCATGCAGGAGAAAACACTGTTAGCACCCGTGGCCGCATTGTCCTCCTTATATGGCTATTTGTGATTTTGATAATTAACTCGAGCTACACTGCTAGCCTCACCTCAATTCTTACAGTGCAGAAGCTTTCTTCACCAATTACAGGAATTGAAAGTTTAGTAAATACAAAGGACCCCATTGGTTATCAATTAGGTTCATTTGCCCGTAACTATCTGATTGAAGAACTTGGCATTCATGAATCTAGACTTGTTCCTCTTAACCTGCCCGAAGATTATGCTAAAGCTTTAAAAGATGGTCCTAGTCATGGTGGAGTTGCAGCTATAGTAGATGAGCGCGCCTATATGGAGCTTTTCCTCTCAACGCGTTGCCAATTCAGTATTCTAGGCCAAGAGTTCACAAAAAATGGATGGGGGTTTGTAAGTAGCTCTCTGTCAACTTCACCTTTTTCTTGTACATGTGAACCTGCTTTTTATGAATTTATCTCACACCATGACCAAACTAAGAGCTACCAATATTTGTTAGCAACGTAAAGAGATGATGAAATTATGAATCCTGTGAATTCAACCTAACCAACTAACGAATGTGGTAATGCATGAGAAGTAGAAGTCTCTACATCTAAAGCTTGCAAATAGGCCAACAAAATATACTTTTCACTGATGCATGATTTTTTCCCATTGTTCCTTAGTTATAAGTTCTGCTTGAAACATGCTTCTGAAGGTGAATCATACTGTTAGCTTGATATTTGGAAGGAGAGGAGATTAGGATATCACTCTTGACATAACATGGTGCTTGCTTCACACAGAAGTTGTCCTTGTCTAGGCTTGAATATATATTTTTTCTTTTGGTACCTTCAAATTATAGAAGAAGAGTCTTGGTGTAACTGGTAAAGTTGTTGTCATGTGACCAGGAGGTCACGGGTTCAAGTCGTGAAAACAGCCTCTTGCAGAAATATAGGGTAAGGCTGCGTACAATAGATCATTGTGGTCGGGCCCTTCCCCGGACCCCGCGCATAGCGGAGGCTTAATGCATCGGGCTGCCATTTTTTTACCTTCAAATTATAGGGGGTCGATGAGAACGTAAAGGAAAAGAATTGAGAGTAAAAGATGTTAAGTTTGTGTATTTGGCTTAATTGTGTTGGTTATAACTACCTTTCCTTTTGTTTGACCAAAAAGTGTTAAGCCTTTTGTTAAACCAATTAAATACAAAGGTAATGGGTAAAACCTAGTTAAACATAATAAGTTCTAGATCTAGCATATGCTTATATAAATAGTATAGAATAACGTTTGAGCCAATTTAATACAAAGGGTATTAAATAACGTTGCCAAAGAGTGGATGGGAAGAACAATGATGAGCAATAACTATATTAAATGGCAATAAATGTAAATATGAGGAAATATTAAGGAATCTTCTGACCGCGTTGAATTATACGAATGCTAAAGAATATTGCGCACTTTCTTGGATTTGATGGAAATGACAAATGGGATAATTCACAAAAAGGTGGAATCTCTCTTAAAAGTGGTTTTTTGTATTTTTCTTTGAATGCCTTTCTTACAACCGAAAATCCCCTCCCTCATTTCATCATTCTTACACTATTTATATTTAAATAGTGGGATATTCCCAAAGAACCCTAGAAAGTACAAGCACATATTCCTTTCAGAGATTCCAAAACAAAACTGACCGCTGCTACCGTTCCTCGCTATTGGACCTCGACCTTGATGAGCCACTCAACGGCTCTTCTGCTTATCACCGAACTCGGCCTCAATGAACTCTTCAACAACTCCTCCTGGTCGTACTCGGCCGAGCTGCCCATGACAAGTTACGATCTTCACGACGAACACCTTCCCGTACTGAATTTTCTTGGTCGGATTTTGACCCATACACCTTTCCTTTTCTATTACATCAAACTATTCAATCTAGAACCATTTTGTTATGACGGTTTTATGCATTGATCTGTCTACATTTGAGAATAATGTCCTTCAATTTCTTTGTTTTCTCCTAGGCTTTCCCTAGGGACTCTCCTCTAGCGATTGACATGTCCACTGCAATTTTGAAACTATCAGAAAATGGGGAACTTCAAAGGATCCATGATAAATGGCTTTCTGGAATTGCTTGTACTTCACAGAATACAAAGCTTGAAGTGGACAGGCTTCAACTGAAAAGCTTCTCAGGTTTATTCTTCCTATGTGGATTAGCATGTTTTCTGGCACTGCTCATATATTTTGTGATGATAGCATGCCAATATTGCCACTATTATCCCGAGTCTGAGTCCTCTGGGGGAAGCTCGCGATCAGGACGACTCCAGACATTCCTTTCTTTTGCTGACGAAAAGGAAGAGTCAGTGAGGTCTAGGTCCAAACGAAGGCAACTGGACGCGACTTCAGTTAGAAGTGTTGATCAAGATGCATCAGTAAATGGTTCAAGGATTGACCGTTCTGAGATATACTCAAACAGGGTTGTAAGTTTTGGAGAATCTGCGTAGTTCCTAACAATGAGTACTGGTCTTCCCAAAATGTAATTATATAGGTGGAATCACGAATGAATCTTTATTTGCAAGGCGCTGCTATCATATTTTACAAAGTGTCAGTTGTCATTGGAAAAATAGCCATGCAACCTCAGAATCCTGCTGATCCTTGTGTGTATACATCTGTCCTTTCCTAAAAAGGCTTTTAGCTCAATATTGATTATGACAAGTGCAATGTTAAGCTCATATGATTTGGCCACCAGGCCAATATCTGCCAAATTCATGCAAGGGAAAGCAATTTTCGAGCACTAGTTCTGCCACCCCACCTATAGTGTTTTCTAGTTTGACATGTACTGCTAGTGGAAAAAATTCTGTGGAAGAAAAAGATGATATGATTGGGAATAGCATCCTATAAAAAAGGAGGAAACTCTGGAAATTAGGGGAATGTTTTAGCCTTTAGGGGAGCTTAGCTGGCCTTTTTTGCGGCTCAATTAGCGCAATTACTATTCTAATGACAAGACCACTCACAAAATTGTCTACTTTCTATCATTTACTTTGACAATGCTCCATAATAAGTACTGCAAATTGAAGTTATTTTTCCCGCTAAATGTTATCTAAGTCCAATCTCTAAAAATTATTTAATTTCGCGGTAATGGAGAGAAAAGAATACAATAATCTGAGCAGGTTTTAATATCACTGATCTATTCCCTTTCTTTTCCTAGTAAAAAGTTGAAACTCAAGGCGGTTTCATGAAGAGAAATTATACCAAATGGATTCAAGAGCATAAGGGTATGTTCTTTTTACATCCATTGTTCGAAATATACTGGTGGTAACTTACAACTTCCAAATGATAAGTTTTTTTCTTTCTTTGGTTTCTCAAAAATAAGAACTTACAAATTATTCAGTTATGAACTTTCCCTGTTGTTGACGATAATAAAATACAATGCATTATTTAGCACATAATTAAGTTCTTGTGAAATAGTTGGTAAGCGGCCAAGCTAATATATTCATTTTGGTATTTGTATATCTTGTTCTATAGGTAGTACAAATTTATCTTGAGAAATCTATCAAATAATTCAGGTTCGCCAAAAGCATTGGCGGACAGCTTCTTCTATTGATTCACAGTCTTAGAGTTGCACATACTAAAGATAATAAAAGAAGGATTTGCAAGAGGTTTTGCCCAAAGTTGTGAAACAACAATGACAATAAACTACGATAAATAAAATATGGCGTGCCTTACTTGTTTGGTTGTCTCTTCATTAAATAAACAATAAAGTGAACCTAGTCAATACGCTTATAAATTTAAATTTATAGTAGTATACCAGTCAATAATATAGTGAGTCTATGTGGTATAGAGCAACAATTTAGTACAAAGCCGTCTGGGACCAGCTTCTACAAATCTACGGGAAACTTTTCACGTAAATTAGACGTAAATGCCATAATGGAAAAACCCATAGCCATAAAAATATAATTTCCAATAGGTAGCTTTTAACGTTCAATTCAAAGTTAAAAATGTGCGAGCATCCTCCACAACATGAGCATAATTGCTAGTTGCTGTCACTTGTTTTGGTATCTGAAAATACAACTGTCTGAACCAAAAATAAATAAATAAATTCGGGAGTTCCTCAATGAGTCAATTCAATGAAAGAAAAACACATACACACAGGGGATTAGCTGCTTATGTACTTTGTTCGTTAGGTAGTAGAAAAAATACTAATTATATTTTGAATGGTGAATTGAGTAATCTGATTGGTTTACTTGCATAATTAATTTAATACTATAGTAGATATTCCAATAAATTACATCATTTCTAGAGCTTCAAACACCATGTATATCTACCTTGAATACAAATTGTTTAATTATACACACAAACCTATTGTCCTACAATCAAAAATTAAAAAAGGAGTAACAGATTGCATATTTAATATTGAAGAAATAATAAGTTATACTGTAATTATTAAAGTATTTCTATTTCTAAAGAGTGTTCTCTTGTTCTCCTTTTAAAAACATCTCTATAGATGTTTAAAAGCTTGGTCTTGAATCAAAGAGCAAAATTCCTTCAATTCGAGCATGGAAAAGTATTTATATTAGTCTAGACTTGAAAGGTTCTCTTTATACATAAAGTAGTTGTAATTTGTAATCTGTAAAAGAGGAACGGTCGAAATAATTATTTGGAGACTTGGAGGACTTTTAGTTAGTCATTAATTTGACAACGATGCACTTTCATTTCCTCCGATCATTACTGAGGGAAATTAAACATAATAGAGATAATGGTGTTCATTCAGTTCTCCAAACGTTCAACAGGAAATAGTAGAATTTGAAACTACTCTTCTCCATCCTTTTCTAATGAGAAAAGGGAAAGAAAAACAACACTTTCTTGATTAGTACATTATAGGAAAATTTTCCAAACCTCTTTCAGTTATTTTTCATTAGTGGGAAATTTATTTGCTTTTCCTGAAATTGGCCACGCCTTTTATAACTTGTTAAAAGTTGGAACTGAATTGGTAAAGTTACACTCCTCCACTGTAAACAATTTTCTTAAGAAAATTTTCAACGAGTAACGAAATATGTATAATTTTGGTAGTAGTGTTATTATTTACTTTATCAATTTTTCAATTTCACTCTGTAAAAGTAACTAATGCTAAAAAAATATCCGTCAAAGTAACTAATACTAATTTGATAGGGGGAATGTTATGAATACCGAAAACCACTATTTTTTTTATATAAAGGGCAGAGGAAATTAGAAAAAGGAGTATCTAAATATAGTGAAATGGGACCTATATAATTTTACAATGAGTTGAGTACTAGCTTCGCTAAAAATGAAATGAAAAAAATAAAAAATAAAAGTTATTGAGTACTCCGGGTACTCTTACCTAATTGACAAAAATTACCCTCAGCCACTGAGCAGCAGTACACCAGTCCAATCACGGCTGAATTCACCACTACAAGGCACTCTCCACGTGCCTCTCGCGTGCTGGATATGACCTCAGCCTCCTCCCCCAATCATCAAACTACTAGCCGGAATGTCCAAAAGCCGGTCATCGTCCGACTAATTTTCCGGCTATCCCGCTGTAGAAACTTCTATAACTACGTTAGATATAAATGAGAAACTTCAAGGAGTAATTTTAGATAGTACAGCCACAGAAAAGGAAGAAGAAACAGAGCATGGAGACGAGAGCAACAGATTCAACGGCGGAGATGATAGACCAGACGATAGAATCAACGATGGAGAAAGGCAAGTCAAGGTCCGGCCATGACCATGACCTAGGGGAGAAGGCGAAGCTGATGCCACTCCAGGCCGAAACGACGCCGTCCCGGCTTCTCGGACTCCAATTCGGCGTCAAATACGAAGTAAACAGCCTTGGCCACCGCATAAACGACGTCGGAAGTGAGAAACTCACTCGTAGCCACCGGAAAGTTGACGTGGACGATCGCCGCCACCCTGACTCCGCCATCTCTCTGGTTCTTTTTTCTCTTCGAGATATTTCTATTTGGCGCAAAAGGAAAAGAATAATTTCTCGTATATAATATGTCGAGGGGATTCTAGCAAGCGCTAATGTTGGGCCTTTTACATATATAAAAGAAATCTGAAACTATTTCCTGTGTTTGGTTTGAACAAATAGGAATGAATCTTTTAGTAAACATTATTTGATAATTTGACAAAAATGATAACTAATTTACTTTTATAGCTTAAAATTCATTAAAAATAAAAAAAATTACATTGATAATGGTAATAACTTAAATCGAATGGAAAGTAATCTTATTTGAATTAATTTGCTCAATGGTCATTTTGCACATTTTAAAGAAAATTACTTCAATGAGTTTTTTATACATTTACGGCTCTAGTATTAGAAAAAGTTTTTAACGTTTAAGAAAGCTAAAAATAATAAGTATAGTGTCTGAATAAGGACAAAGTTTAATTATAACCAAAAGATAGGCTTTAGAAAAGAAAATGTTGTCTACAAATATTTTCTCAAAACTGGTTCAAACAAACTTTGCCCAGAAATTATTTTCTTGTAATTCTTCTAAGATAAAAGGAAACCAAAACTATATTCAAACCGTCGTGATTGACAATACATTTTTCCAGTTCAGAAATTAGTTTATCTTATAGAGTATATTTAATACACAATTTAATTATATTTATCATTGCATTTTTTTGCAACCGTCTAAAATAAATTCTTGTTGAAATATTATTTGTTATGGAATTATAGTAGAGATTTTGAATTATTTGAATTTCAATTAGTAAGGCTACATCGATGGGGTATCACATTTTTGTGATTCTGGTGGTGATGTTTAATTTGGATAATATATACACATTGTGAAATTTGCAAAATTGAGTTAGATAATGATGGGGACAACTTGCAAGGACATCGCCTTCTATAAATTTAAACATAAATACTGTACGTGTAGACCCTAACAGCTTGTTTGGATGGTTGTTACACATTGTTTTATAATGTATCGTATCGTAATCGTATTACTGTATCGTTTGATAAAAATAATGTTTGGATAGATTGTATCGTTTGCCATCGTTTCATGATATCAAGCACCCGCAATATGAGGAATAAACTTGTAATATTATAACGAAAAATTATGATACAAGGTAAAATTACTATATAAAAAATAGGGTAAATGATAAAATAAAATTATTTAATAATAATAAGAGGTGAGATTGAGAGAAAAAGACAAGGTAACGACGCAACCACACCAAATCGGTCGTTACATAAAGTGGCACATTTCGTCGTTATGTAACGACCGATTTAACGATACGATATACTAAAATTTAAGTAACAATCAAAACAAACATCGTATTTAGAGTAACAATACGATACAATACAATGGGTAACAACCATCCAAACAAGTTGTAAGACACATGAAACACCAGTCATTAATATTGGATTAAAATACCACAACACAATTTCGTTATTAATTAAAAAAATTAATCTAAAGTTTATCACGTATTGTTCACATTTTTGTAGAATTTTACTACATATATTATCAGAGGCGGACCCATGATTTGAAGATTGTGGGTGCATTTTTACTTTCAACCAAAATCTGCTTTATATACAGAATGTCACTACTAATATATCAGTATTTTCTAAAAACATATACATGTATTCATGAAAATTTTACCGAACTTTTCGGATATCAATGATCCCTCACTTGATAACATAGGTCCGCATCTGTATATTACTCACATTTATGGGTTTCATTTGCTATATAGACTAACCAAACACGAGTTAAGGTGTAGCTTGGTTCAAGAG